TCAGATCGCAAAATCCGATGGTCTAAGATTCGATCCTGCGTTCGTGACGAGTAAACAAGATCAATATTTCTTTCATTCTTTTGTCTCATATTTCGAATTATTTCTATTTGTATCTTTAGTCAACAACCGTTTATCTCATTCACTGCACCAGGTCGCTATTAACTTATTCTGTCCTCACCTTAACTCCTGTGAAAATGTGATTTGCCCCACAAGTGTGTAACAAAACGGTGCACTTGGTAACACCAGCAGTATTGAAGAAGCTGAATATGAGCTCATCGAACTCGAAACAGAAAATCGTGTATCATTGTTTATTTCGTGATCCGTGATTCTATTTTGTAGCTATGCTGTTTCACTATTTATACGCCAAGTTTGAACAGGGCCTCATACTACATTTTTTAACTTTTCATTTTCATTAATCCGGAGTTCCTTTGTCTTCAAGTCCATATTAGAAACCATGAGCAAACTATCGTCTTTGCGTTTGCGCCACGAATCAAAGCGAATCAAAGCGGAAAAAAAAAAAACCGCTCCTGAACTTACAGTACACACGTGGAACTCGGGTGAGTAAGAGATGTGGGTTATTCACTTATTATATAACCAAAACTAACGAGACCTCATTTGTTACCTAGGTTTTTTTTGCATCACAAAAGAAACACACAAACCGAACGCAGAGTGAAGGAAATTTTCTTATTAATGATAAGGGCGACTTGTCGGCTTAGAAACTTCACAAGTTTTGTTGGAAAAGTTGACCTGTAATTTACGTCACTGACTCAGTTGATAATAATAAATTAACTACAGTGGAAAGTCAGTTTAGTAAGACAGAAGAATGAATGAAGCATCTTTAATAATATCAAAGTCATTCCAAATGTTACAGAAATTTGACAACCTGTCAGAAGGCCATCCATGGTTTTATTGCTCAGTGACTGAGAAATGTGTTCTTCCAAGGTCTTTTTGCTCCGTGTATCACTGGCATTCATTTCAGTGAAGGTAAAACCAAGCTCTTCACAAACAAGTGTTGCTGTTGTGGTTTTACCAACTCCTGGGGAACCGCACAGAAGAGCTGCCTTTAAGGACGACCCATCTTGGTCTTTGTTGAAAAAGAAAGCTGTGCAAAATAAAAATGTTTAAAATTGTGATTCCATTACTAATATACTAATTACATGTATAAGCGACTGTCGAGTGAAATAAATTCATCAAAGTTCATAAGTTACAGCTGTTTAAAAAAATGTATCTCTGAATGTGGGAATTAGGAAACATGTATTTATGTCATCAGTAAGTTGTACAAATGCACCTGGATGCACCCAAGAGAGATTATATTCACTAAGTATAATCACCGCATAATACATGTAGGATGCTCACTGGTGAGGAAATTTAAGGCATACAGCTGAAGTATGAATTAAATTTACTGTGAAGTTATGCTCTTGTGCTAATTGTTGGAGAGGTTTGAAACACCCACCTTTCAGTGCAGGTGATGATGATAGTGTTTGTGTTGTTGGAGATGACACAGATCTTTCACTCAGTTGTGACAAATCCCCTTCAGACTGATCTTTTCTCTGGCTGAGGGACTCCACTGGATCAGCTTTCTCCTTCTTTGTCTTCTTGTGCACACTTGGTGGTTCATAGCTGGTCTTATTGCCTGGTTTTGTTCTGACAAGCTCAAACAGACCGTCTTCATCTATTTGTGATGTTCCACATTGCCTTAGCCTTAACAAAGAAACCATAGTTTCCTTGTCCAGTAATGTTTAGCTGTTCAATGAAGTAGAGACAACCTTAAATCAGTTAAAGGGTCTCTAAACAAAGCAATGTTTAATGACCTCCTCAGCAAGAAATATAAGCTTATGCCTATGAACAAGAACAGCTCTTTCAGAAGCCAACAAACTTGCAAAAGAAATAATTAATTCTTCCCTAACTTGTAAATTTTTCAGTTCTTGTTAGTTTGTTACACAGACTTATGAATTGTTCATTAATTGAGTTAATTTATGCAAATTTGTGGCAAGTTTCCCTAGTATTTTTGCAGAAAGCCATAGCCCAGATTTGTTACAAAAATTTAAGGAAAAAGGTGCAACCTATATGTTGGTGTTCATGTTTTTGTTTTTGTTTTTTCCTTTTTTGATCTGTGTATTACAATGTACCTTAGAAAGTTTATGCTCTCCAGGATCCCGTCCCACAACGACATAACTTGTTTTCTTGCTCACTGATTGGGTAACTTTTCCACCATATCTTTGAATCAAATCAGTGGCCTCCTCTCTCTCATTACTTTCCAAGACTCCTGTAATAACAAATGTCAGTCCATCCAAACAGTTTTCTGCTCCCTAAAAATTAAATTATCAAGTGTGTGCATGATTCAAGATATGCAGACGAATAATTAATTCTTCCCTTGAAGACCTGCTAATACTGTCCAAACTGAAAAGTTATAAATGGTGAAAAATGAAAAAAACTCTGTAGATACACCATAAACATTTCAGATCAATGTCAGCATCTGTGCACCTACCCCTCCCCTAACCCAACAACTGTCAACTGCTTACAAGTGAGGGTTAATGTTGGATTAGGGGAGGGGTAGGTGGGCAGTTTCTTAGATACTTACATTGAACCAACATTTGAACAACAACTGAGAGTAAAAGGATAAAATACATTTTTTTTGTTTAACCCTTTAACTCCCATGAGTGACCAAGACAGAACTTCTCCTTACAATATCAATACAATATCATGCAGACAAGTGATGAGAATAAATAATCAAGCAGGGGATTATTAGTTGATCCAAGACCAAATTCTCCAAACTAACATTACAAGAATTGTATGACAGACAGTAAGGAGAATAACTAATGACATCTCAGAGGTAAAAGGGTTAATCAAAGCATGCATTTTACAATTTTTTCATGTAAACTGTATCTGCAGATTTTCCAAATAAGCCTTAATTCTAATAATCTTCATTTTCCTTTGTCTTGCATCTCTCATTAAAATTTGAAAGGATGGAAAACAAACCATAAAGAGCTTGAGAGATAATACTAATTTAACAACCTGAGAATATCCATAGATTATCCAGCAAACACGTAATGAGGATACTAAAACTTATCAAGTACATGTAGTTGTTATAATGATCTAACAACAAACTCTCATTATTAATTTACAGAGAAATGTGTAGAGCTAGAGGGGAGAAATAACAATCAGATCTTGGTCTTTGAAACCTACCTGAGGGATTTCCTTTGAACCAAGTGTCCTGGGATTATCTCTTGCCATAAAACCATGGTAGCCAAATTTTTTCTTTTCCAATGAGGGTGGAACTTCAACCACTTCCTCTGATTTTGACACCTTTTGGTGTTCCTTGGGTTGGAGTTTCCTGACTAAGATCTTTTTTTCCTTTTTTGGAGTAACAGTTTTCTTTGGACTTGGTTTTGAGTCTCCAACTGGAGTTTCTGGAACTGTAGCAGCTTTGGCAGCCAGTTTGCTAAAAAGAGTTGTCTTTGGTACTTCCTGAAAAGTTCATGGATAAAATTTGAAGTGAATAAAAGTTACATGTATATCAAACATACTAACCGAAAAGAGTTGTCCTCACAAGGCAAGAGTTGTCCCAAATAGGAATGTTGATAGTGAAAGACACTGCTGCTTTGAAAAATGGAGACAAAGTGGCAGCATCTTCCTGGATTGTCAAAGTTAAAATCACTAAGAATGTACCTAACATTTTGTCACCAAAGTTACTGTTTAGTGTAAATTCTACATACAGTACTGGTTGTATTTTGAGTGGTTATAGTATTGAAAGTAATGTTTTGTTGCAAGTATTGTTAGCAACATGCATCTGAGTAAAAACCATCTAATTTCATAGGAGGACAGGTTTACATATACAACTGACATGTGCCACCAGTTTTACAAGTTTGAGTAAGCTTTTGGATCTTACACAAAGCCAAATTTAGTCATAAAATGTTATTGTTTCATCTTCAAGTACCTTATTCAAGTGCTTAAAGACACATACCATACACATGCAAGGAGAAATTAGATGCTGGTCACTCTTAGGGGTCAAAGGTTAAATGTATCAGCATAAGAGCAGTTTCCTATAACAGATCTAACATTCTCAATGCTTGATGGGAGAGAGGAAAGACAAACAAACAGACAAACAAACAGACAAACAAACAGACAAACAACATTAACCTGGACAATTTTTAAGAAGCCAGATGCTTCTCCAGAGCAATATCTTACGTTCTAAAATAACACCATGGTTTGGTACTGAAATATCAAATATAATAATAAAGAGCGATGCATGTTACCTCTCATTAACTTGCTGGACCTCTTTAGAAGCTGGCTTTTCTGTTTGTTCAAGAGACTTTTTTAATTTCTAAGGCACAACTTCTTCCTCATCTGTAGAAACCAGGTTTGACTGGAATGAAGCAAGAATAACAATCCATGTGTTAAACATTTTAGTTCTAAAACAATGTTGCGTTCAATTCACCCTTGATGGCTGTGTAAACACTGTCTTTATTATTTTGCTGTTGTTTGTTTGTTTTTCATCAAAATACAATTAAAGCATCATAATATCAAAATTTTATTTAAGGCACAGTGGTCTAATGGTAAGTGTGCTCAACCCTGGATCAAGTGGATGGCTTTTTTTTCTTTGGCAAGCTAATACATAGGCAAGGTTAAAGGTCAGGTGATGTAAAAAAAACCTGACCTCATTTTACCTCAAGCTCACCTGACACTAAATATTTTCCCTATTCAGCCCTCCCACTCCATCAATAAGGAGAGTCCCCTAAACCCTTTTGTAGAACTCAGTCATGTAAAAATATATTGTCTTTTCATGCATCACGAAAAATATCCAAAATTCTTTCGCATTCACATGAATTCAAAAAAAGAGAATTATGCCAAATTCACAAATTAAAAGTTTCACTCTTTCTCACCTGTTTATAAAGCTGTTAGTCCTACAAGTTTGGCTCTTTCAAATAACCTGAAATTCATCAGGGAAACTAAATGGTTTGTCAATCACATTTAATTTATATAATTCTTCATTCATGGGTTGCATTTAAATAAAGAAAAAACTGTTCAGATGGAAATGGAAGGATTATGTCATCTATAAAATTCATGGAAAAAAAACTGAAATCATGATTCCCCTGAAAACAAAATCTCCCAATCACCCTTCTTGTAAAAAGTATAGGGTATCCTCAATAATTAGACATAATTTCCTTACCTGAGTCCAAGCTGATTGGTCAATATTCTACTTTTCATAGCTTTTGAACTCTCCTCCTTCTTTACTGATGTGGCTTTTCTAAAAGAGACATGAATGAAAGAGAACCAGGTTCTGAATACACCTTGACATCAGTATGTATATTCTCCATACTGTTCCCTATGCATTTTCTGAGGCAATTACAAGGAGAATTTTTTAAAATAATCAAGAGCTTTTATAGTTAGTGATCATTTCCTTGACTCTTGATTCAGGGGTGATATTAGGGTCCAAAAGTTTAACCCTTTAACTCCTAAGATCTGATTGTTATTTCTCCCCTCTAGCTGCTACACGTCTCCTTCTAAATTAGTCATGAGAGCTTGGCACTAGATCAAGATAGCAGCTTCTGCTTGATAAGTTTAAATATTCTCATTACCTGTTTGCTGAATAATGTATAAACATCATAAGGAGAGATTTCATGTTAATCACTTCTGGGAGTTAAATGATTAACTACAGCTGTATGAAAGGGAACAAAATTCAAGAAACAAATCACAAACTGATTTTTGGAGGAAGAGGATCTTCATCAGAATCTAACAGAGATGTAAGATTAATTTAGAAATAGGGTCAGGACATCATTGAGATGTTGTACATATCATTATGTGAATCTTTTTACACCCTAATTTATTTAGCCTCACCTAATTATCTCAGGCAGGGAGACCACTACAGCTTTAGCCAATTAGAGTGGATCCCGTGTTAACAATGACAAGGCCAGACCCCCCCCCCCCACCAATTCCCAGTAAACAGGCCAGACCACATCACAGTAATCTTGTGAGTGGGTTCTTTAATGTCCCCTGCCTAACCAAATTGACTAATTAATAGCTACCTACGGTTTATTCATCCTTATCCAAGAAGACTAGAATGTCTCTCCATTTCTTGACATTGTAGAAAGGTAGCACATTCTCCTCAGTTATTTTAAGACCTTGAGTGTTGGTCCAGTCTGGGCTCGAACCCTCGACCTCCTGCACAATAGTCCAGTGCTCTAACCAATTGAGCTAACCAGGAGGCTGTTTCTGTAATAATGCAAATTACATTCAGAATTGACAAGGACACTGTACAGCACAGTACCTCATTAAAACAAAAACAGAGGTGTAATAGTTTGTGTAGAGTCTCAACATCTGTTCCTTTTGAAACTGTTCATGTTCACCCTAAAACATTACCTGAGTCAATAATGTTTTTTCCTTTCTTCTTCCTCTTCTGATTTTCTTTTGGTTTTTGTTTTCAGGCAACCCTGTTACAACCCTGTTTAGGGAAAAAAAAAAAAGGCAAAACATAGTAACTTATCAGCCTCACTCAGCTACCCTGACATACTCTGACAGACCATTGAAAATTATACCTACACAGTTAGTCAACACACATTAACACACCATTTCTCACATTCCAGTCCAGAAAGATACCTTGGGTTAGATATATGTAGTGGGATGAAACTCTTAGTTAAAACATGTTGTAAAATTATCTACCATGTGCAAAATTAAAGATTCATGACAAAGGAAATTTTACCATGTATGGCAATAAATACCAATTTTGGCGAAATAAGGTGTCCCCCCCCCATCCCCAGGAGAAGATAGATGGGAATGTGAATCGCAGAGTACATAGATACACATGATGATCGATTCAGTCAGACAGGGGCTGTGATATGGGCAGATCTTTGGGAAGATCTTTTCTCCGTCACCTCTGAAGTCGAATTCCCTGATAACACAAATAAATTTCTCTCTCAAATGCTACATAATCCATTACTTACCTTGCTTTTCGTTCGGCTCTTTCCTACATCATGTTTCGATAATGACTTCGCAGTAGAATCTTTGCCGCGCTTATTTTCTACTTTCGAAGCGCCTTGTTTCGCTGTCTTTCCAGCAGAGCTAAAGAACGATCGAGTATCCTGTAAAAAATATGTAATTACAATTAAAACACCGGTTAAAAGACTGCAGCTGAGAACTAAAAGGACTCACGAACCATTTTAGTATAGTGACACGTTCACATTACTCTCCTACATTTCTCCGCCATCTTTGAAAATCCTCTATACTTCAGTCAGCGGTCACCAACCTAGCTAGCTTCCAGACTCCTGCTATTTCTCTTCCGCTAATTTTCTGAGAAAGACATTAATAAGATAACCATAATCTAATTCAAATTCACGGAACCAAATAGAGTTCCTCATATGAAAGGAGCTTTCAGACGAGGGAGGTTAAACCACGTGCAATTGCCTCAATAGATTGCTTGGAAAATGGCAAATAGATCCTCGGAGAACACTTCTCAGGGGTACGTACTCTGTTGTGGTGTCGATATTTTCATGAATGCGCTGTAGATTCATGCAAGCTCGTTCTGCGATTTGGTTCTTTCGTTGCGCTGTCGTCTCCTCGAGGTATATGGTTTGTTCATTGAAAAATATTCAAATTCGCAGCATGAAATTTGCAAAAAGTTATTTGAAGTGTTATACGCTGTCATTCAAAAACAATTTCATGTAATATAAAATGACTCTATAGAAAAGAGGAAAAAAACTACGTTTAAAAGTTCTAACGATTGGACTTGAATGGAATAAATGTGGTCGTGTTACGATAAGTGCGCATTTTCCTAAACTTAAAATTACGCTGGTTTCTAAATTGTATCTTCTTGAGTGATAGCAGATGATGGAGTTTATGCGCAGAATTGGATACTACTAAGTCAAAGAGTTAACGTTTGTAACCCTGTTCTTTGCGCCTGTCTTTCAAAGATCTGATGTCATACAATGCATTTAGTCTCTATTGTAAAACTAGAATCGACCATATCTCCGCAATTTTTTTGGGCTTACTGTGATTTGCTGAACGAAACGAAACGAACTGAAAATATGAACATCTCCGTGGTGTTCTTTACTGAATACTCACTACGTTCGCGAGGAGATCAGATCCTCTTTTGCATTAAAAAACTGCGCCATTTAGCCATAAAATGCAAATCTATAATTAAAAAAAGAAATTCCGTGAGGCTGCAGTTGTGCAATTTACAAACATCGATGTTCGTAGTCGATGAATAATTCGATTGCGTGACATGACATCTTGCCTGAAAAATATCGCGTGACTAAAGTTGCTTTGCAGCATGTTTCTGATTGGAAAATAACAATACAAAAGTTTTCGTTGAGGTTTCAGTAATAATAATGGTTGTTCTGTTATCATTTGTGGGATTTGTGGACTGAACTGACCGATTCATCTTTAAGGAGTCATTGGGATTTTCCATATTTTTTTAAGATCGGTTTTTGTGCTAAAGAATTTCGGTTTTTTGGATTGGGTGTTCGTTGCGGTTTGCGGATTTTCCGTTCTTTAGCATTTGGTTTTCGGTTTTCGTCTAAAATACCTGTCTAATGGGCTACGGATTTGGTTTCCGATGAAGTTTTCGGATTGTCCTATTTGGATTCCGTTTTCTCTTCGATCCAAGCGGCCATTATGCGCCTCCACTGATCTCGAATAGCCGCGAAACCTCTGTATGCTCCACATGTCAACACCGTATCGGATCGATTAGGGTTTTGCGAACTGGGATGTGAACATTTATCGGTTTTGACTGTTTTGCATGCGGTTTTCGGTTCTGGTCGAATTTTTTTTTGGCGGTTTTGCGGTTGTGGATGATTTTTGCAAACGGCTTTGAGGTTTCTAATAGACCCTCTTATCCTTCCGTACAATGGAGTTCTACACGGATTCTTGCTTTGCAAATTGAAAATCTCTCTTTCTAAATATACAGATCTTCTTTTTCGTTCTGTTCCGTGTCTTAAATTACAGTAGACCTCGTTAAGTTATTTCTTTTGAAATTGCATGTGGAATTCTTTAATTTTTAATTTTTTTTTTTTTTAATTTTTCTGGAAATAAATGCTGTTTTCTTTCTCACTTCACACTTGAATTTGGGACTGAAAGTGAGGGGAATGTGGGCTGAAAGGTGGGATGTCTGTGTTAGACAGCTTGATCCTGCCTTTGTCTGCATTATCATGTATTAACTTTTAATTTTCCATTCCAGCATGAATTTTTAGTGTTCTGTAACACCTGTCTTTTCTTCTTGAATCCTAAAAATATAGCAAATTTATTTTAATCCAGAGATGTCTTCGTAATTTTGTTTTTTGAGACATGCTGACAAATTTTCAATCTCGAAAATTATCAATTTAGGTGCCCCACATTTATCAAAGAGAGTCTGTTTGATCTTGGCTGTCTTCCTCCAGCTATAAGTGAAATATCGGAGTAACTTTCATCAAATAATGATGACAAAATTGTTTACATGTCGCAATGATTTGATTTAGCGCCCTCCTTCCAATAAGCACCCCCTCTGGAATACGTGCCCCTCTCCCCCATGTTTTAAGTCAGAAAGGTTGAAAGGTGATGCTGTTTTGCTAAAACTTCATCTGTAATTTCATGCTTGCACAATTGATAATTATTATTACATGTATTGTTATTATTTTTAAGCTTGTCATTATTTTTATACTAGCCTTCGTCAATCAAAGGGTCAAATCTGGACTTCAAAACTGCAATGGATATCCTGGTTTGTTGATGTGAGTGCAGAATTGACTAATAGAGCAAAAAGGTCAAGGCTTATATTGAAGGTTAACAAAATAATCGTAGTTTGATCATAAATCAGTGCGTACTTTAAGTAGTTGTACCTAAGTCTAAGTGACACCCAGCTACATGTACTTTTTTTTGAAAAAGTTGCTACTTGTCATACAAGGCAAGGGGATGTGCTACTGGTTTGGGTGGCATTTTCATGACTCGCTTAGCTATAATGGGGTTACATTTTCAATAGAGTTACTAGAGTGGGGACTAACACATTTTCATGATTTGGAAAATTTTCATACATCAAAGTAAGGATTTACAAACAGGAAGGTTCAAATTAGATTGAAATGTACCAGAATGTTAATGCACTGAAGATGAAAAGTAAAGTGTTCTAAATTCACATAAACAAATGTGTTGCTTCATTTTAGGATCATGACCTACTTAAAAGACTTGGTTTTAGCTAGATAGATGCATCTATAAACAGAAATTGACTAAGTTGGGATCACAAAAATTACATTTCTGGTAAAGTGACTAACTTAGCAGATGGGGTGTATAGTTGGCCACAGAATAGACTATAATGGGGCAGGTATTCTGAGAGGCCAGCAGCACATGGGTAGATGGGATCACAAAAATAACACTTCCCGTAAAGTGACTCACTTAGCAGATGAGGTGTATAATTGGCCACAGGGTAGACTATAATGGGGCAGGTTTTCTGAGAGGCCAGCGGTACATACACAGCAAAAATTGACCCAAAAACTCCCCCACCCCTGATCTATCAGGAAATTGTGCCATTTCAGTCAGAATATAAACACAGTGCAATAATATGAGGCATTCCCTTATTGAATGGGTTTAATGGGAGTGTATTTTTAAGTGAGCTATTTGGGTGCCACTGTTTTACCAATGTATGTGTGGTTTCCTTTCAGACCATTTGATTTTCTAAGTGGTTTTGGCAACATTCATCTTTGCTGTTATGTTTGGAGCCACTTCCAGCACATGCCTGAATATGTTTTTACAACCAAAAAATGGAATTTTTCAAATGCCTGACCCAGCTGGATGGGTGCAGGGTAAGTGGTCATACCATGGCAACCTGATTTTGAACAAATTGAGTGTTTGTTTGTTTTTTTTTTTTGCTTTTTTTCTCTCACTGTTAAAATCATTTTAGAGACTCTAGTAGCTATAGGTCAAATCAGTTGCCATGGGCCAGTATTAGTTTATGAACAAATTTTAACATAGTTATATGGAATTTAACGTACAGTTTAAATGACTAGGAGCAAATACATGTATGGTCAGCAGTGTTTTCAGGCGTTTGGTTTGTGTCTTAGGCAGTTGTTAGTATCCGTGCAGCATTTGTTGCATTCTACAGAGTTTGCAGCAGTACTGCTGTGGATGTTAGGGCCCTGGGGCCATCCTCATTTAGTGGTATACCTTATCAGTGCACGCATTGTTCCACCATGTGCCTGTGTTGTGTTTGCTGTTCTATAGCATGGAATTCTTGTCCTTGAAGATAGCATTTCTTGGTCTTTCCTCCCCTCAAACCTAACTGCAGGGTTTCTTTTGTGGGGTCTATTTCTGCAAGCTGCCACTTTAGCATTGGGTAGGCCAGTTGGGTGTTCTAGCACCTTGGGATGTGACTGTAGGTGCAGCTCATGGGCCCCTTGGGCACCTAGCCTCCATTTGTGATGTGGGTGCAAACTTGATATTGAGTTATTTATTTATTTATTTGGAATATTTAGACAGGCTGGCTCACTTGGGCTTTTAAAAGCAGGTTGAAATGTGGGCCTCTATAAATGATAACAAGGCCAGATGACCACACTGGGAGCCACATTTATTACTCTTTGTTGAAGTCTGTGAATTCTTTTATTCTTTAACTCTCAAGATCTGATTATAAATTAATTCTACCTTCTTGCTGCTGCACATTTGCATATTCATCAGTTATGAGAACTTTTCTGTTAGATCAAGAAAACATTCTCTACCTGATTAGTTTGAGTATTCTCATTGCCTGTTTGCTGGATAATGTAAGGGTATTATATTATTATTATTATTATTATATTATTATTATTATTGGGAGAAGTTACATTTTAATCATTTCTGGGAGTTAAAGGGTTAATGTCCCCTGCTTATAACCAGTACAGAGAAGATGTAGGAGAGTATGGGGCCTATGGTTTATCATCCTTAGCCAAGAAGACTAGAACATCTAACCATTTGCAGATGTTGTATCAAAGGCAGCACATTCTCCTCATTTATTTTAAGACCCTAAGTGTTGTTGTGGTCTGGGGCTTGAACCCTCAACTACCAACACAGCCGTAACACCTTCGTGACGTAAGAAGGAATGACAAGGACACATCCAAACCAGTGGCTGGATACTTTAATCTCTCTAATCATTCTGGGCAGCATATGGCACCTTGGGGCCTTTCTCTACATCTAGGCAGTTTGGAGGGCTACAAAACTCTAGAACAAAAATTATCTTTCAAACAGGCACTCTTAAGCCCCACGATATCAACAAATGCTTTTCATTTAACTAATTTATTCCTGTTTTCTTGTCACCATATTCCCACCAATAGCATAGCTCCATTTTCTGCATATTAATACACACACAAACCACAATTCCTCCAATTGCTTTGATGAAGGGCTATTGTGTTCAAAATGTCAGCTTTTAAACTATACACAGTGGCCAATTTACATTATCAACTCAGTCAATAATACTAAATTTATACCTTGTTATACTCTCCCATTGACGCAGCACCACAGTTTCTTTAGAAACTTACCCCCTTTACCTGCACAGCAGTCCAGTACTCAACATGAGCAAGAGAAAAAAAATTTCTCTGTTTTAATTAGTTTTTCAGAATATTGTCACTGTTCTTGTATACGGATCCTGTTCTACCCATTTTTTGCCTGTCTGACAACTGACAACTGACTGGTTGGGTCCTTGCCGGGATTTCTTTATGTTACAATCAGGTGAGCTAGCTATGACTTTGTTAATACCAATATAATCAGACTGTGAGTTTGTTTTTTAATTAGCAAATACAGTTCTCGAAACTTTACAATTGCAAATACTTAATTCAAATATTACTCTAATGTGGAATACTACTCTTGGCTTTGAAATAAGTGATGTTTGTGTTAATTTTGGACCATATTTTGTACACATGTCCTGGTAAATAGGGAACACAGCATGGCTTACAAGTGAAACAATAGACTAATTTGGTTCTCTCTCCTCAATTAACCCTATCAGCCCCAAGGGTAGTCAGCATGTAAGTTCGCCCTCCAGTGATATTGCTGAGTCATTCATTAAGAACAGGAGAATAACAAAAAGATTCCCAACTCAAGAGGCTCTGATTACAACATGAATTCTCCTCATCAGTACCAAAGGTATTTCATAGTGAAGAGTCTATAGAATATGAATATTAATGTTAACCCTTTAACTCCCATGAGTGACCAAGACAGAATTTCTCCTTACAATAATATATAATATCAATATAATATCAAGCAGAGTGATTAAAGAAAAATATCAATAGTGAAAGAGTCTAACATCAATATGAATATTAATGTTAACCCTTTAACTCCCATGAGTGACCAAGACAGAATTTCTCCTTACAATAATATATAATATCAATATAATATCAAGCAGACAAGTGATGAGATTAAAGAAAAATATCAATTAGGGGATTATAAGTTGATCCACTACCAAATTCTCCAAACCAACATCATAAGAACTGTACAGCAGACAGTAAGGAGAATTACTAATGAGATCTTAGGAGTCAAAGGGTTAAGGTGTTATACTACAGTAGAAGTACTTTATCAAAGTGATTGATGAAAACTAATTGACAAGGAAAGCAAACCAGGGTAATCAATTTTCTTAGATTCTAAAACAAATATAAAAGACTTGTTTGTTCTTCGCATAGGGGAATCAATTTTATGTTTATTGTATTCTATTTTAATATCCGATCGTTTGAACTGTAAAGTTGTAGGGGCTTATTTCAATGCAATGCAAAATGAGCAGTGAACACAATAAACTGACCATCCTGTACCTAATTCGAACATGGCGGGCATCGCCATCGATCGACCTAGCAACCATTACTCTCTAACGAGGTTAGTAAGGGTTACCTCAGTTCTCATATGTCATCAGGGGTCGTAGATACTTTTTCTTGTTTGAAAAATAGTCAATAATGAGTTGGAATTGATTGACATTCTGCTCACCAAGAAGATAAACATAGGCATGCGTAGCATGCAAGAATTATTATTTAGGCTGGGAGGGTTGAGACTGGAAACTTTGTGTTCCTAACACTATCAGTTTTGTAACAGAAAAAGAGCATAACTTCTAAAGTAACGAAAATATCGCATTACTTCACCTTAAAAGAAAGGAAAAAAAACTAATTTATCTGAACTCACACAGGTTTTTTTTTTGGTCTATTGTCTCTATTGTCTAAAAACCCCCAAGCAGACATAAAATGTATCCGTGCCTCGCCTACTATTGTCTCCTTCGCGGCTGTTGTTTAGTCTCGTCACACAACGCCCTCTATTCCCCGTTAGAGAGAGAGCGTGTTGCGTGACGAGACCAAAGAGACTACGCTTACTACCGTTCCTCAGACAGAGAGAAAATCAACATTATTCATTTACAGTTGGTTGCCTGCAAAATTATTATTATAATTCCACGTAATTTGACTGTAAAAGGCAAAAAAACCTAAGTTATCTGAACTCACACAAATACTGTCTAAAAAGCTCTGAGCAAAAGTAAAATGCGTCGGTGCCACGCTTAACGTTTTTTCCTTCGCAGCTGTTGTCTAGTCTAATTAGAGAGAGAGAGCACGTTAGCGATGGACTCTGATTGATGGAATACAATACAATACAATCCAAGCACAAGAATGTTTGAGCGTTGTTTTCATGTACGTGACGGAAGTAAGTTGTTTGGCGCGTGCGAACGTGAGAAAAGAAGCGGATAAAACACCTTTAAACTTAAAATTGATAAAACAAGTTGATTGCAAACCTTTTATATACCGATAAACTAGACCTCAATCGACGGGGTTCTTGCGAAAGACACAAATCATTACACATCAAATGAGTCCAAATTTTCTGGTTAATGTCATTCTTTGTGCATGGCCTCCTGATTCCATAACATCATGTACGAGAAAAAGTATCCAAACGCTGTGGTTTCTGCTTGATATCCAAGTGCTATAATGTGATTGTGCGAGATAAATACCCTGATGCGGCAATCTGGTTGGTGTGAGACACACCCTTATGCGGCGATCCGATCAGTGCGAGCAACATATTACTCAACACGTAAATAGTTATTTTTTTCATGATAAAAAATTACTAAAAAAATGCGAACCAACACCTGAAATATCAAGCTTTTCCAAAGCCAGTTGGCACCACGACCAGTGGATTTTTTCCAGAACTAGCGTAAAAATTGCTCCTTTCTTTTCCGAATTTAATGCGCGAGACATATTAAATTCCGAAAGACATGAGTGCTTCTTCGAAAGCGGAATGGTAGCTAACAACTTATCATTTACAGAGTTTGCCAGCTTTCGCATTTTTCCGCAAGGGCAACATGTGGAATGACACATTTGGCGTGTGGTTGACAGCTGGAGCTTAACCGCACCAATCAGGAACTCCGTGGGTAACCGGAGTTTTGCAAAATAACAATGTCATCGGACAGGCGTAATCTTCACAATTGGGGGACTCCTGCTGGTCTTTTCCCGCATTTTTACTATAAATTGTATATATGAGACTGGCTGGTTGATGACCTGGAAATATTTCATGTAATTTTAGGAGGCTGTAACTGTGTTTGAAGATTTCACCCCAAAATTCAAGAACGTCACAAAAGACAAGGCTGGAATGGAAGACGTTAAAACACTACAAAAATCATCTTTGAGGTGGCAGAGGCCGTCGAGAAATTTGGAAAGCGACACCTGAGTGGAATGAGGCCTTCAGAGAGGATCGTTTTTCCAAAAATGGGTGAGGTTGTGGCCTTCAATCCTGTTTAGTTTCAAAGTTTATTCCTGTTACTCACTGACTTGCTGACTGACCCTCTAAGTTGTCTAATTCCCTTAAGCTAGATGATGTAAGAGCTCATGTATAAGCCCAACTTTTTAGAAACGTTATTGATGAATAACATCGATTCGTCTGTTCTTTAAATTTGTCTAATACTTTGACACTCTGATTTTTTGCGGTGTGAAAGGAAATTCAAGGTATTCTTAAACAATCAACAAGAGAGAATCAGAATCCTTCAAATTGTGAAACCTTTCTTCTCGCTCTGTTTATTGAAACTTTTCTCAAATAATAGATTGGTGAGCAACACTTTACTAACTGAAATTGACAAATCTTACCAATACTTTCCGCTTACTTCATACTATACACTGGGCTCAAAATTGGCCTATCGTTTGCGATGCTTATAAATGCAAAATTTTTAACCGTACTCTTAAAAACTCCCCAATGAACTCTATAGCTCTCCAACGAAACTGTTCGAGGAACGAATTGAGTTTTCACAAATTCAGTCCGTCCAGTGCTGCTCATTGAAAAAACGTTGTAAAATGGTTGAAGGGTAAATAAGAAAAAAACAATATTCGTCCATCCAATTGTTGTTAATGTTGTTGTTGCTTTGTCTCATTGATTCTTTTTGTTTTTTAACAATTATTTCACCAAAGATGCTCGTCAACCTCTCCCTCAAATTCGACTGAGTGTTTCTATGTCCCTTGGAGCTGGACAGATCATCTTCCTCGTCGGAATAAACGCCACCGAAAACAAAGTTAGTGGCCTCTCTTTCTATCCGTGGAATGAATTGACTCTTTGCACCGTGAACGTCTTGTCGAAAGGAGCACGATAAGAATACGAAAACTCGTCCTTTCCACAGGCTGCCTGTGTTACAATAGCAGCTCTAATGCAATATTTCTTGATGGCCGCTTTCTTTTAGATGCTGATCGAGGGAATTTATCTCTACCTCTTCGTTGTGAAAGCTTATAACATCAACACCAAGATGTACATGTATCACGTCATCTCATGGGGTGAGCTTATTATTTTAAACATGCACTGGTAACTGTAACCATGCTTTCGGATCACCAAATATGGTGTCGTCATCTAGCGAAGTGACACGATTTCCTTCCTTTCTTTATGGGTAGGTCTTCCAGTGATCATGGTGGCCATTTCACTTGGCATCGCTGCTGGAAAAGAAGGGTTACAAAGCTATACGAGTGATAAATAGTAGGAAAAATTCAAGGGTTTCTTCTTGCTCTTCTCCTTTTTATTTGTTGCATTTAAATCTTTGTTTTGTTTTTGCATATAGTTTGAAATCGGTATCATTTCATTTGCTGACAATTTGTGTTTCTTTCTCGTGTTTCACTTCTTCGAGTTTAGTTGCTGGCTTTCCTCGACTAACAACCTGATCTGGATGTTCGTCGCCTTAGCTTTCATTGAAATTGTGAGTTTATGATTAGTGTTGGTGATTGTGATTGGTATACCTGGACTACTTGCTGCTGAAGATTTTTTCTCTGCTCTGTAAAAAATAATTTAACCATTTATGATATAACCCCTAGGATATTTACCATTTTCCTTTTCCTATTTACCCACAACAAGCTTTGGACGGGGCTATTGAGGGCCTTTAATGACGAGAAAAACCTGTTGAGACAATGTCCTCACAGGCACAAGATAGCTTCATAAACTCTCAAACTTTTACTACATAGTGTGACGTGATTTGTTCAGCTCATTGTCAGAGAATAAAAACCGACTAAAAACCTGATTTGGATATTTGTCGCCTTTGTAGCTTTCATTAAAATTGTGAGTTCATGATTAGTGTTGGTGATTGTGACTGGTATACCTGGACTACTTGCTGCTAAAGATTTTTTTCTCTGCTCTGTAAAAAATAATTTAACTATTTATGATATGATCCCACAGAATATTTACCATTTTCCTTTTCCTATTTACCCACAACAAGCTTTGGACGTGGCTATTGAGGGCCTTTTATGACGAGAAAAACCTGTTGAGACAATGTCCACACAGGCATAAGATAGCTTCATAGACTCTCCAACTTTTACTACATAGTATGAAGGAAAAAAAATTCTTCCTCCTTCCTGTTGATGGTTTCTCACTGTTTCACATTGATATCTTACGATATTTTTTCGCGCAAGAATAACTAAAAAAAAACATTGAACAAGAAGAAAGGAGCAGGAAGAGCAAATTTATATAATTTAAGACGAGGCCTCACTTGACATAGTTCATTTAGTCTAGAGACGTTCGTGATTTCTTCAGCTCATTGTCAGAAAATCGAAGCTCATAATCTAGGTCCCACAGTTGGAAGTTCTATTCCCTGTAAATGACTCTTTATCCGAAGCTTGTTACCAAACTAGTAACGTCTCTGTCAAGGATCCTCTCCTGCTTTGCCTATTCGATAACCATATCTAAATAATCAATTTATTTTCATTGTATTCTTCAGCTCAACTTCTTGATACTCCAACGAGTCATAAGGGAGATGACCAATTTGTTGCAGCCAACAGGGGCAGACAACCATTTTCAGCAAATACGGTAAGATTTGCAACATAAGACTAAAACAATATAGCCTCCTGTGAGGCTCTTTTCGCCTAACTTCCTCGCTCATTAACCAGTAAGGCCTTACGATATCTAACTAAATGAAAATTCATCGTCAAACGAAACTTGAGGAATATTTTCTTTTAACTCCTAGAATTGGCATCAAAGCATGCGTGCTGATGATTCCCCTGCTGGGTGTCACGTGGCTATTCGGTCTTCTCTTGCCTGTGCATAAAGCTTTCGCTTACATCTTCACCATACTCAACTCTATTCAGGTGAGTGTTCGATGATATCTCTCAAAAGCATTCAACCTCTATTATTATGTTACTTTCTGATCAAGTGAGACACCGTTACAATGGTCACATGATATGTTTTTGGAATTGTGAAAACAAAAGTTTTTAACCATGTAAGAGAAGACAGACTTCTTTTTCAGTTATAAGATATATAATTCTCCTTCCTTCTTGAAAATCTTAATAGATATTTGACTAATTTGTTTGCATATTGTAGAAATTAATGATCCCGAAATCATCTTTATGCTACAGGGTTTTCTGATTTTCGCTCTACACTGCATATCAGGTAAGAAAAAACATTAAACTGATTATTAACTCCATATCATCAAGTTTTAGTGCTTTGATAGATATCGAGTAGTCAAAGAACCATATTTCATGTTGCTTGTCTATCTGCAAATCAGAGAGCGATTCAAATAATATCGTTTTTCTATCTTCTTCAAAGGACAACTATACAAGGAAGAGCTCACAGGTCAATCCAAGTGAGGTTGGGGATATAAAGGCAGTTGAATTGCAGTCTTTTGCTAAATTTGAATCGAAATCGCACTTAACTGGATCCAGCCAACTGGAAATAACAGTCAATTACTTGGTACAAGTACTTACAGCGATTAGTCGGTTGCGATCGGTCTGAGTTGCGATCTGCAGGTAAAAGAGGTCATTCCGTTCATCTTTGTTTAAGCACTCAACTAGTTGTAAACGTAACCTAACTTCGTGATTATAAAGTTATTTTCTCGGCAATCGGACATTTGCAGGCAAGATTCGACGAAATAAACCAATCTATAATTTTTTTTTTTATTTCTAATGGCTCAGTATGCTGACGACTATCCTTCGAATAAGATTACAGTCTGCCACAGACGAGGCGGGAATTTATGCCAGGAAATCATGACTCTTCTTTCTTCAAAAAAGCACTCTAACACGCAGCTTTAATGGAGTGTATTTATTTTTTGATTCTTGGACGCTAACTCTCTGCGCTTACTGCATGATTATTTCATATTCGGCGTTTTACTTATTGAGTTTTAAACAAATTTTTCATCAAACATTATTATTACTATTAACAATAAGCTATGGATAATAACTGAATATAAGTTTCTAGAAATTTCGAGAATGCCTAGTCATGCTGATATGAATACCAAGGAACTTTCTGCAGCATTTTACTGGGTTTCGTAGTTATGATTTAACACTAAAAATATAGTTGTTTTGTAAGCTTCCAGAATTTTCTAGAATACTTTATACATAAGGAGTCAGTCGTGTAGCAGTAGTACTAGTTGTTGTCGGGAGTGACTGACTTTTCAGAAAGCTATACCGAAAGAGAGCTACTGTAGAAGATTGTTAATTTAAGGGAACTTTGGAGACAACTGTGAGATCGTGTCAATGGTGAGCTAAGATATAGTTTTTAGTGGGCTTCAGTAAGTTTATTTAAGGATAAGTGTTCTACTTCCCGTTAAGAGTCGCTCATTGATGAGAATATTACAAGTTGTTTAATTAAGTAGTCGGGTTTGTTAAGGCCTATTTACACGGCACGACTTTGTCGCATGCGACAAGCTTACGACAGGCCTACGACATGACTTAAGAGTTGTAAGCGAGTTGTAGGTTTGATTTACACGAAACAATTCGTGTCGTAAGCCTGTCGTAAGCTTGTCGCATGCGACAAAGTCGTACCGTGTAAACAGGCCCTTAGAAAATAATGCTCTTTCTGTCGGTTAAATTGTACCGTAATGATACTAATAGTACTAGCAGCTAACGCTGACATTCAAATTTGTTGCTTAATGAATAAGTAGATGAATACGTAAATGTTTGAATAAATAAACAACTAATTTAGAAAGAACAGAAAAAAACCCCTAGACTGGATCTTTTGTGGATCAGTTACATTTACCCATTTGTTTTCACATTCCTAAAATAAGGAGTATCGTTTTGAATCGAAAATACAACGATTAATTGGAATTAAATTGGGGCGATGTTAGGCGGAAACGGGCATAAACCAACAGATTATAAACTATTCGGTACAAATTATTAAAGAACGATTCAAGAACTTTTATGCAGCGTAGACAATTTAAAGGAAAAAGCTCAGCGACAGAAATGTGGAATATTTCCATGGGCCTGGTTTTCAAATATCACTACAGCGGAGACGTAGCATTGAAGAGGAATTTCAACAAGTAAGAGAAGGAGTCGATAATGTAGATGTGTGTGACAGTTTGCAACAGTCTGGGTTACGTCATATCCATTTATAAACAAACGTAAATGACGAAGCGTACGATTGAGACGGAAGAAATAAAAAAAAAAAGAATTATTCTGAAATATACAAGTACATTTCTCCCTACACCGCTCCAATCCGATAGGTCAAAACGCTTCAAGCTTCGATTGACTAAATAGATCGCAGCTAGGACTAGAGAATATTCGAGAATAAATAATCAATTATTCCATGAGCGTGGAGAGATACCAGAAGAGTAGAATGTCTCGCCCACAGAGCACATCACTATGACCCAAGAACGTCTCGCTCAAAGAGCTTTTGACCCCACCGCTCCTTCTAAAATGTTGGAATTCGAACATTTGGACACAAAAGTGATGGTTTGCATGATAATAATGCGTATTAATTAACACATGAGCGAGTTATTCCATCAAAGTTAAAGGAGTACGAAGTAATTAGACCCACCAACTGAAACGGCAGCATGTCATAGGCGAGATGAATAAATAATAATCATTTCCATTATTTTATGCATAAGAACAGATGGCGTAATAGCTTTAGCTGCCAGTCTATAAAAAGAAGTTTGTTCGAGACAACTTTCATTTAGCAGAGTTCAAAAAGAAATAATCATTCTAAACATCAATTATTTTTGAGCTGCTTCTTTACAAAACTTCAACTACAAAAAGTGTCTTAATGCCGTGAGGTTTTTCGATTGTATTAAGAAAAACAATGCTCCGCAACTGGCGCAAGTTGCTTTTTGTCTATTGGTCCGTCTATGACAGAATAATAAAAATGGAGACTAACGCCATGAATATGCGATCACAGATCATGATTTGCATTAAAACTCAAACCCGTTCCAAAGCGTTTTTTGACTGAGGATGCCGCAAACTCTAAACTCTCAAGTGGGGTTAATCAAATCTAAGTGCAACGATAGCTCCTAAGAGCAACCTTTGCATATCTTGGGCATGATGAAGTGGATGATAGATGGAGCTGAATCCAGCAAAATTTTCAAAACCCTTTTAATATGTTGTGTGCTGGGTAAGTAGGACGCTAGTTATTCCGCGTTGTTCTGCTGTAGCTACGAAGCCGTCGAAACTGACTTTCCAATTTGTGAAATATTTATTTCCAATTTTAACTTTAAAGAACTCTATTAACGAAACATACCAAACTCTACAAATCTCCTTTCCAAACTATTTGTTTATCATTAAAGCAAAACTTTGGGATCTTTGTATTATCATTATTATTAGTTTCTCGATATTAATCGCCTTCCGTATAATGCCAAATGATTGTATTGTGTGATGAGTACAACTAAATCCGGCAAAGTGTGCAAAATTTTTTTTAATAAGTTGTGCGCCAGGTAAGTACCACCTTAATTATATCTTGACTTTCCATTTGTGAAATTCAGCCAAACGAAACTGAGAGGTGGCGGTTGTTTGACACTGTTAATTAAAACAAAACAAAACAAAACATACTCTTAAACTCATAATTCTTAATTAGAGAAGGCTATCTTATAAATCGGATTCTTGAAACCTAAAGTAACTAAAGATCAAATAGCACAGGCGAGACATTCATGCGGTGGTCATGTTGTTTGCGTTATGGTTGTCTGCACAACAGCTTTGGCAGCCATATTTAGGATAACAGGAACACAATAGCTTAGTTGCTATAGTTTTATGCCACTACGACAAGATGTTAAAAAGGGGAATACGTCTCGTCTTCAGATAGCTGCTGAACGTTGGACGTGCTTAGACAAAAGATCGAACTTAATCATCACGGTCCGCATAAAATGGTATTAGATTTTAACGTTCGATCCGGGGTTTGGCAAAAAATGGTTGAATTGGTTTAGTTTTTCCTTTCTCGTCGATATCTGATTTTCTGAGCGAGCTGAGGTGTTAAAGTGACGCGCACTCACAGAAGATAATTAAAACAACTCTTAAAATTCAACAGTTTTCATGTTTTAACATTCAACAATGGAACTCCTTACAGCCACATGGAGATTCTTTTTTTTTTTTAAGCTTTATTAAGAGAATTCTGTCTTTGGCTTTTAATAAAGTCCTCTTATTCATAATGTTTAATGGATCACCCCGAAATTATACGAGCATCACGGACGATGATACTTTGCGGCTCATGTTCCTCATACCAGGGTCATGTACAAAGAGTTCCAGCCTTAAGCCTTACTGAGAGCCTTCGGATAAGGCGCTATTCAAATATTGCGGTACCTAAACCGTTAGAGCTTTCAAACTATTGTTGAGTTATTAACACTGCTGACTGCTCGTCAAGTTGGACGCCATGGACAATTAAAACACATTTCTCTTTTAAATTATTCTTCTTTGTACCCGAAAGCAAACCCTATACTTATCTCATTGCTTTTACAAAAAAAATTAATTAAAAAAATAGGTTCCGTAGGTTCCACGGTCTGCTGATCCATAGTTTAGTAATACCATGAATATGGGAAAATCCTCACAAAATTTTGGAGACCAACCGTTCATAACCGCAAGGACTGTTTCTACATTCGAATCAGAATTATTGTTATCATCAGTATACATTTTTTCATTTGTTTATTTATTCCTTTATTTTATTCCCACAGAGTGCCAAGTAACCTGTTTCAAAAACTCATCTTACATCTTTTCGAAAATGAGAGGAAATTGGTCTCATAACATTGATATCTGCTCCAGTAAGGGAGGTGGCTTAGTCTCCATCGAAACTGAAGAAGAATGGCAATTTATCAATCGTGAGATTAAAAAGCGTTCTTGGAATTTTAATGCGTGGCACATTGGTTTAGAGAAGAAAGGCGGGGTTTGGACTTGGGTTACTGGAAAACAACTGAATATTTCGAAATGGCGAGATTCTGAGCCAGGTGGTGACGACATAAGGGCGGAAATATCCAAGAACAGAGGCCTCTTTAATGGTATTCCTATGAGTGATAAAAAAATTGCCCACATTTGCGAGATGCCGGGAGGTAAGATCACATTCTAACCATAAAGTATGTTATGTGCCAAAACATTACAGTCTTTCACTTGTGTCATGAAAATTTCTATTGTTTATTAGAAGTAAAAATATTGCTCACACAATATGCTCAGCTCACCCAACTTTTACGTGTGAGCGATGAATAAACTTTTAGGCGCGTATTAGTAGTTGAGCATGATGCCCATAAAAATTTTCGGGACGCATGTTTCCTAAAAATATTTTGATCACCTTAGAATTTTCCATATTTTGCATGATCGCTTGCAGCCGGAAAAACAGCGATCATAATTGTATATTTCACAACTTTTGTCGAGCGCGGTGCGGTTTGGATAATCTAGCCGACGGAATTTTTCCTTGCCACAAGTTACAAGGCGTGTTCACTGAGGTCAGTGAGTGTATGCATGTTTTTTTTAAACATAAGACATCGAAGTATTTTTTATATTTATTTTTATTCAGATGTAAATGAATGAAAGTTCTATTAATGAATTCAGTTGTAAACAATTGCCTCATCTTTTAACTCTCTGAGTTACTTCGAGGGAAGGTTTTGGTTTATTACAAACGGTTTTTAGACCGCGTGTCAACCCATTTAATGACATATTTGCTACCAAAATTAGTTTCAAAACCATTTAAAGTCATATTTGCTACCAAAATTAATTTCAAAAACATTTTTTTTCTTGGCAACCAAATTGATTTGAGACAGAGAAAGAGAGAATTAATAAATTATCAATCGGCTTGATTCGCTTTAAAATGATTTGCTTAACTGTACAGCCCAGCCGGCAAAACGAAATAAATTTTTGAAAATGGCAACAAAGTTAGAGATGTACTCGGCGACTTACGCAAGCGATACCGTGCCCGTGGGCAGGGATAGGAAAATCCAGAGCGCATTAAGAAACATTACGATTGCAAGATTCGTTACCGTGCCCTCTGAAAAAAACAAATAATAAATACAGTTCTTTCGAGAAACGTTGTCGGAAAAAAAGCGTGTTGGAAGCGCTACGCCGGTATCATAGTGGTCATGGGAGCAAATCCCGTACAGGCCTGAATTTTTTCAGGCCCTATTTTCACTGCTCAAGTAGTGTTCATTACTGCGAAGATCGCTTTTATATTAACGTCTTTATCCGCACGATACGACTTTTATATATTTACATTCGTTTACAATTGTCATAATAATAAGTTTGTTTATCATATTTATGATAATTTTTTTTTCATCTTTATCATTTTGTAGAATGCCCAAATATAACTTTTAACAACTGATTTCTCCGGCTATTGACAGGTTGCTGTTCTGTGGACACAATCGACGCGGAACTGAGAGAAGCAAGCTCAGGATATTTGAAATTGATTTATTAATTATATGATA